GCTGAGATGGTGTGGACATGTGGGACAAAGGTCAGAGATGATTCATGGATGTAGTGAAGGAGGACGTGCAGAGAGCTGCTGTGACAGAAGAAGCTGGTATGCTGTCTGTAACCACACCATCGCCGGTACTTCCTTTAATGTGACAAATGCATCAATTCTGCATCAGGTTAAAACCTCAGTGTGATAGAAAGTGTTTTTTGAGCTGGAAGTCCGTGCTGTGTGCGTGTAAACACGCTCTGGCCTGCGAGGCTGACCGTCAGGTTCTCACACATGCTGGTAGTTTATGGTCTGCTCTGCCTCCGGCCGCTCGTATTCACGGAAACAACGGAGAGGACAGGAATGATGAACTGCAGCTACTCCGGCTCCATCAGCTTGCATTTGTTTACATCACTACATATCCGGTTGTTCAGTGATGATGCGACGAATCCTACTTCCGGGTCTAAAGTAGGCCTAGTCTGCGTTTAATATGGCTTTTGTGTTGTTAACATGTTTAATGTTATGTATTTTCTTCTATTTGATCTCAAAAAGCTCCTAAGACAGTCAGTGATCCCTGTTGACCTCCCTCGGCTTTTATTACCGCTAATCATTTATTTAAGCTCAGTTTTTAAAACCTTAGGATGTAACTACAGCCCAGCCCATGCAGCAGTATATGAATGACTAACCTCGTATTGTGGATGGATTATCTCAGTTGTTCTCCTGGCTGAAGTTTGGTCCTTTTACAGCATCCTGCCATGCGATTACATTTGTTCCACCGAGAACACTCACGTTAATTTTTATCGAGTGGAAAAAAAGTTAGCTTGTTTATATTATGCTAACATAGCTGTGTCGTTAGCGGTCACGTAGCACATCATTATATACCAGCTAGCCCAACTTCAGTAACCCTACAAACGTCACTGCTGTTTAGTTTTCTGTCTTCATTTATGCTGGAAGTGATAGCAGAGCTGTACGTTTTAATTTGTTTCCAAAACCCCGCAGTCAGGACATGCTATATTGTATTTAGATAGAAGCTAGCGAGCTAACTTCCTGCTAACTTCTAACTCCGTTAAATGTCATAAATTCCGTTTTCATGGATGCCTGGATGTTAAACTCAATTGTTACACCTGGTAGAGCAGAACGCTGATCATTTTATTAAAGATGAAAGACTTTAGACAGTTTTTCAACTCTCAGTAATGCCATAGTGATCATTTGATATATGGACCTGCAGCGGAGTTTAGGCCCAGACACGGCTAGTGACGTCAGACTGAACAACCGGATTACTGTACTCATAGGGGTTTCCACGACATACTATACTGTATGGTGACACACATATGTGGTGATGCTAGCGTGGTAGTGCGATGAACGCTGTAAGGAAGAAATGGAAATCATCACATCAGTCTGTGGGGAAAAGAATATTTTGTGAAACTTTTCTTTTCGAACTTTTGTTTCTTACAACAAGGATTAACAAGTCCTAAACGTTACACTGCTGTTTTATAAAGTGCGTCATTTTTGTGATTTTTAGTGTTTCATGTTTGAATGACAGCTGTTGAAAATCATCATTTTTACAGCTGTCAATCCATAAAATCTGATAAAATATAAACACTGGTGTGCCTTGCTTTGTCCTCAGCGATGTTATTGTAAATTTATTGTCCTTTATTTAATTTTTGGGCCTTTGTTTTTGACTGTGTTCAGTTTCCAGAGCGGTTTTGGTTTATTTTAGGTTTGTTTTTTATTGTTTAAGGAATGCTAACGTTCAGACTTCATTACTTTGTGTGCTAGTTTTAATCTTATTAATGACTAAAGCTAAAGACAAATACTTCATTTATTGCACATTTGGAATGTCCTTTTAACCGACTTCTATATTTTATTCTAGATTTGTGAGTGCATCATGAGACTTCAGGGAGTTTCTGTCCCTGTGTCACCGCTGTAACGCGATCAGCTGCTGCTTTGACTCACTAACACTGTAATTGGTTTTCTTGCTGTCAGAAAAATCTCCAGAAAGCCCAGAGTCAGTGCTGTGTTTCAGTCTGTAGTATAATGAATATTTCTAATCTTGATGTCCATTTCATTGATAAACTAAAGAGAGACAAAATGGTTTAATAACGTGGCTGTTACAAATGCAGGAACAAAGTTTGTGCTCTAAAATATCTTTGGAAGTCAGGGAAGTAGGTGGCCCCACCCACCTCGTGTTTAAGCCTTCTGTTTGTGAGGGGCAGCCAATCAAAAGAAGGCTGGGCTGAAGGGGGAGGGGCTAAAACTGTTTCAGACAGAGGATCGTGGCACAGTGTCCGATAAATAAAGATTATTTTGAAATGCAAGTCATCAGGGTGCAGTGAGATAAACAGACTTTAAAACAGGAGGCACACCTCCTACATGTCACTCATGAGTACAGCATCCTTTCAGTGTTGTGTGATTGGCTGTTTGGGATTTTTATGGTTTGCTGAGTGAAACGAGTACCAAGGAGCTGAGGTGCAATCAAGGCAACACACTAGGAGCCAACTGAGCTTTAAACAGAAAGAAATGTTTGCATGTTGGAGCTGAAAGAGCGCCACTGACTGTCGTGTGTCATGTTTTCCAGAGCCTTCAGAGCGGCGAGATGGAGGATGGGAAGCCGGTGTGGGCGCCACACCCAACAGACGGGTTCCAGCTGGGAACCATAGTAGACATCGGAGCTGACAGCCTCACCATCGAACCCCTCAAACAGAAGGGAAAGGTGAGCAAACTTTGAGGGTTACCTCCTTTACAGGAGCAGTTATTATTGCACTGCAGACTTATTTACTCGCCTGCCTTCCTACCCCGAGACCGTCCCCAATTTCCCAACTGCGTCCTGATGTCTGTGTGCAGGACTCGGGTTGGAAGGATGACATTTATTTTACCTCCAAGCATCAGCGTTGTATTAATAACACAAAGCAAAGACTTAAACGGCTAGCTGTAGCTTCATCACCTCTACGTCAGCCTTTTTATGCCTTCCTCTTTTATTTTGAAGAAGAATGAGTGAGATGAAAATGGTTTTGAATCGATCGGTCTGCTCTGGCCCTTCTTTGATGGGTTTATCTGATGTGCTCTCACCTGCTGTGTGTTAATGATTTAATGTCCCACTTAGCTCGCGGGGCTTCAGGCCACCTTTCTGGAAGCAATAAAGCATTGTTCACTCTGAGATTCACCTCCGGTGCTCAAGTGCTGATTAATCAGAAGCCAAGTGGCTCTGTGCAGCAAGATAAACGCGCTTTTTTTGATATCGCCTCCGTTGATTCGCTTTTCTGCTGCATCAGGTGCTGAATCGCCTTCAGCAAAGCTTTTAATGTCACTGAGAGTCTGTTGCTGTGGTAACCCCTAAAGCTCGGTGTCCGTCTCACTAATCTTCCCCCTCGTAGAGGCCTTGGCAGTGACAGCGTTCCTCTTTAAAGAGGCTCCTCACTGATTTACCGTCAGCCTGTAAAACACAGAACCGCATAGGTGTGTTTCCACACCTGCCTGAGTCATGAGTGATATTTAAACAGGAAAAGTGATTTTAATCCTGCGTTCTTTTAAGAGTGGCTCTCGTTCCTGGATGTTTTCTCTGAATAAAAGATGTTGCACAAGGTTGGCCTCACTGGATTTCTGGCCGTTTACTGGAATGAGTTGCAGCAGTTTTTACAGCAGTCATTCGACACTCACACAGCCAGTTTTATGGTTTTTATCTCCCTCCTCACCATCTCTATCCAGAAATATTTACTCCACCTTTTACTGTGCCCCTGATCTTTGCACATTTGCTCTGCAAACGACTGCATAAACGGGGCCTCTCTGCATTTACAGAGAGATTCCTGGTAAATGTATTTTAAATGTCACGCCAGTTTGAAATGATCTCCGTTATGGATGGAAAATTACAACTGGGGAATTTCAAGTGTTCAGTGATTCACAACAATTCATGGATTCAATAAAACACTCGAGGAGACACTCCACCTTAAAAGTACCCGGTACCTGCTTCAGTAGTATTTTTTACTGCACACATTCTTCCATCTTTAGTGGAACAGTAAAAGTAAGCTAACGCTGACAGCTAACATAAACGTTTTATTTTGTTGGGACTGACCTTTATTTACCTCACCTATGGCCATACCTGGCCTTCTACTAATATATATTTATTATAATTAATTCCACTTTAGCATTTGTATCCTTCTTGCTCCTTCTTGCTACATTTCACTGTTTCACAGAAACCCTTCACTCCTTTTCAAGGCTTTTATTTTTAATCATTTGCACAAACTTGAGTGTAAAAATAGATGTTTTTCATTTGAAGAACCAAAAAGCTCCATGAATCTGACATACGTGTCTTATTATTTTTATCAAAGGAGCGACTGACAGAGGTGCAGGTAGAGAAGTGAGATGTGAGGAACAAGTAAAGGCTGATGAAGATGCTTCTAGACAGATGGCTTTATTATGTATTTGTGTACTCGGAGCGTTACACCTCTGCACACACAGTGTGTTGGTTTGCATTAATGAAGTTTGTCCCACGTGTATCAGTCTATCACTCGTGTGCTGAAGTCAAAGAAATACGATGAAATATGAGACCTCACGTTACGAGCAGAACCAGCCTTTGTGGTGTTGCTGTTGCTCGCTGTGGTCTCATTTCAGGGTGTGAATATCGTGACGTGTCAATGATATGTTAACAACTGAGTTTATATTAAGTGTCATCAGTGATGTCGCCCCTTTTGAGCTGCTAGCTTCTGGTTTTCTGGTCACACATCCTCTTTAACAAAATATCTTCATAATAATAATAATAATAATAATAATAATAATAATAATAATAATAATAATGGATACTTTATTGATCCCCATGGGGAAATTACTTGTTTTTCTCTGCATTTGACCCATTCACTCAGTGAAGCAGTGGGCAGCCCACTAAGCAGGCGCCCGGGGAGCAGTGTGTAGGGACGGTACCTTGCTCAGGGGTACCTCAGGGTAGCCGTTAAGTGGATTCGAACCGCCGACCTTCCGATCATGGGGCGACCACTTTACCTACTGAGCTATCCCTGCCCCAAAAAAAAAAAAAAAAAGAGGAACGCTTCACGAATTTGCGTGTCATCCTTGCGCAGGGGCCATGCTAATCTTCTCTGTATCATGATATTCATCGTGACAAAAATATATTTCGTGACGATGGCGTCAGATAAGTCGCCTTACTGTGCAACTGAAAGATGAGAGCATCAACACAGGAAATGATGCTTGTGTCTTTGTAGCTGACTTGACGCATTGGACCGCTAATGGAGGCTGTTTCAGTCTTCTGTCTGTAATCTGAGAAAGCTTTAACTCAGGATCCGCCCACTTTGAGCGTTCAGCAGTTATCTCAGTCGTTGTTGCTTAAAGTGACTGAATGTCATCGGCTTTCTGTGGTCAGCAAAGTGCTACTAGTTGCTTCCTGTGTGGACGACCCTTAAATCATCACCTGCAACAACCCTGTGACTGATGATGCTAACCCCGGCCCTCTGCTATTAGACTGTGTTGTTTCTGTTTTTAAAAATAGTTTTCCTGAGTCTTTGCAGTTCTGGACAAAATCAGTAATTATACTGACTGCTGCTCATCAGAAAAGTCCTTTTTGCTTTTCTTCAAAGCGGCGTGTGGGCATGCACCGCGAGCCCGTTGAATAAATCGGCTAAAATGAACTCGCAGTGCAAACTTTGATGGCGTCGATCAGTATAAGAGTGCAAGCTGTCTGCCGTCTCAGGTGGATTTGTTAAAAACCTGAGGATTTTGCACCTTGGAGCCATGTGAGTAAAATAGTAGGGTCCCTGAGTTTTGCCTCAAAGGAGCTGATAAACCAGTTCTGACCCCAACTTAAACACCATAAATCAGTTTTATCGGTCGAGGCAGTACAAAGCCTGCTTCAAAGGGTTTCCTGGTAGGAAGGGTCCCTCTCTGGGTTTACCACAGAAAACAGTATTTTAACAGTAATGCTCTGATCTGCTGTCAGAGCGAGTTTCTGGGCTTGAATCTGAACAATGTCCCGTCTGTCCCGCTGCAGCCACTTTGTGCCAGTGTCTGACGATGTGCTCACTCGCTGGCCGGCCTCCCGGGATGGACGTCAGGGGAAAGACGGAGAGCATGAGACCCTGTCATACTATCGCTCACAAAGAGCCGGCCTTGTCTGTGTTTCTGTTTCCCAGAGAGTGTCTGATCTGCCTCGGAGCTGCAGATGGACAAAACTGTTTGAAGGGCATTACTGAAGGAGATGAAGTTATTTTTGCAGCAGATACTTAAAAAGGCAATTTTGGAGTTACTTATTTTGTAACTTATTTTGTTCTCGCCAAGAATGAAATAAGATGATGAAGTTTGATGATGTGGCTTTAGTGCCAGGAAGTTATTAGCTTTGATTAGACTGGAAACAGGAAGAGGACTAGCTTTGTTTGTACCATAAACCATGAGTCACTTGCACCAGCTATTCATCCACTTGGCCAGTTCGTTGCACCAGTTTATAGCCAATCCTTAATATCCAAATCACTGATCAGCCACAACATTAAAAGCAACTTAATTCCATTTAATTGCATTTATATGCCACCAAATCACAGCAGTACTTATCTGAGTCTGCTTCAGGTTGTTTGGTAAATACTACAGTACTTGTGACTAGGGCTGGGCGATATATCGAGTTTTTTAAAAATATCGATATATTTTCATACGAGATATAAGATGTGACAATATCGTTTATATCGATATAGCTTATGTTACGTTATAATTATACTTGTGGAGCCGCAGGTTTGCCTCTCTTTCGTCCACTTTTGTCTCTACGCAACGTTACTCGGCCTCACCTCTCCTTCACTGAACACAACTCCCCCTCCCCCATAGCTTCACCTGCAGGCAATGACAAGATGAAAGCGGAAAATCTCCGTTAGCGAGTTACCGCGGATCGTCCCGTGCGTGGGGCTGGACGGCGTCAACGTGTTAGCGAGCTAACCGCGCTAACGAGCTAGCCGCGCTAACGACATGCAGCCCGGAGGAGCTGCACGGCCTAAAATCCTTTCATTTTCTCAAAACTCGACAGTGCGCCTTATGTATGAATTCTGGTTGTGCTTACTGACCGCGAACCGATTTTATGTGGAACACGGCGCTCAGCAATCTGTCAAAAAATGTTTTAATATGACTTTGCTAAGCTACGGAGCTGCACCGCTTGATGGATTGTCGGAGGATTACGGCTACCGGGGAGGAGCCTCGCGGAGTGATACGTACTGTGCTTCAACGTAATATTACTGTACTGTGTGTGTATAAGGACCACAAATGGCACCTGTTCAGAGACGTGGTGCAGCTGTGAAATCTGTCTCTTTGTTATTATGCTCAGCGTCTATTAGTTTACATTTTGACTGCACAATTGTGAGCTTTTTGTTATGCACAAAAACAACATTGTTTTCTTTTATTTATGGGCCATGATTATTTAATAAATGCTGATAATTTATTTTTAAGTAATTTCTTCATGTACATCTACGCTGTATGTAAATAAAAGTGCCCGTGTGACATCTGGGACACAGTGTGACTAAGAACTCTCTTTTTGTTCTTAACTTATGGCTTTAAAAAAAAAAATCGAGATATATATCTTATATCGCCATCCAACTAAAAAATATCGAGATATGAATTTTGGGTCATATCGCCCAGCCCTACTTGTGACTGAATCCCCAGCCCTCCAGTCTGAGAAGGTGCTTGGTTATGGTGTTGTCTCACTGAGGCAGCGGGTCCACTTCAGGCCACTTGTCATCTTGACACATGGCTCTTTTTCCAGGGCTAGGTGTGGAGGGTTGTGTCCAAAGCAACTGTTCTTTTCTTGCCTTCTTCCCAGCTACATGAGAGTGAGCCAACTCTCATTACTACATTTTCAGAAAGTCTCTCCCCAGTGGGACGATTGGGGTCCTTGCCAAGATATGGGAAGACATTGCAAATGTACTTGGATTTTAGGTCGCAAGCCACCCAAAACTTGATCCCAAACTTGTCAGGTTTACTTGCAATATACTGCAGGAAACAGCACCGAGTCTTTGATGGGAAAAGATGTTCATCAACGGTGATATGTAGACCAGGGTTGTAGCACGTGATGCAGTTGGTGACAAATGATCCCCACACACTGGAAATTGCAGCGAACTTATCAGTCTTTGCTCGATCACTGCAGGTGGACTTGTCATCAAAGCGTAGGTGTTGCATGATGTCTTGGAAGCGGTTTCGTGCCATAGTTCCAATTATCTGTGGGTTTCCCAGGTTTGCTGACCAGCAGTCATTTAGAGATGGAACCCTGTTAACCCCCCGCAAGATGACAATTGCAATAAATGCCATTAGTTCAGGGAGGTCCATGAACCAATGAACATGCTCCGTGCACCACTCAGCAGGCCATTTGTAAATATGTGTACAAATGGTTGGTTTTTTGTACTGTTTTTATCAATAAATCGCAGCAACAAAGGACATACACCCATGTGTGTTGATTCTCCCTAAGATGGCAAACTGAAACACTCCAAGTTGGTGACTTTTGGAGATTTATTTCCCTGGATGATTGAGAATGCATCAAGATGAAACACAAAAGGAAGTTCACAGCTTTTAGCAGCTCGCCCACCCCCTCATCCACACACCCCCACTCCCCTCCCTCCAGAATTCCCAGGTAACAACCTAATTTACATATGAATGAAGAGCCAATTTAGCTTCCACTTGGCTGAAGCTAAAGCTTAGCTAAAAGCCTACCAGCCATTTGGCTGCTCTCCGGGTTTTAAAGGTAGAAAGGTAGGAGCCTGGGGGTGCTACTGTTAAACAACTCTGAAGCATCGGGGTGGGGGTGGGGTCACAGGACCTCTGGGAGTGTCCTGTGGTGTTGTGGAATTGGATGTTGGGGGTAGGGCCTGCGTGGATCGGGCTCGCTCCCGGGCATGCAGCAGATGCTTGATCAAACTGGGACCCCGGGGAGTTCAAAAACACTTCAGGCCCCTTGTTGTGTTCACTGAGGCCTCCCTGAGCAGTTAGCATGGCGCTGTGGGAACGCCGTGTGTGTGAGTTCTGGACTGTTGGGTTTGGAAAGCTGGAGAAAAGGCTGGAAACTGATGAAACTGATGGTGTGCTATGGTGAGCATTGATATTCACTGGGACCAATTTAGCTGTTCTTCTAACATGTACCTCACACCTCATCCCACACTGTTGGCAGACGAGTCCTCTTTACACTGGCTCCCCGTGAAGTTTAGGGTTCAGTGTCAGGTTCTGGCCATTTCAGAGCTCTTCATGTCCAGATGCCTTGAAGTGTCCACTGATCCCTGCTCAGAAGCAGCTCTGTAGGGGTCTGCACATTCCAGGAAGGTTCAGTAGTAACACTGAAGTAATAGCTGGCTGTGCTATAACACATTATTTCCCCCCTTGTCCTCACGCGGCGCAGTGTTGTGGAATCGGTCCAGCTTGGGCTGAGAATGTGGAACATGCCACCACTGGAAAGAATGAATCGGCTGTACGTCAGTCTCTGGCTCGAGCCGAGGCCTGCAGCGCTTCTTTAAAGAGCCCGATTCAAAGGAGTGAGAGTCTGCCGGGGCCTTCAGGAGCTGGCAGCGATCGGCTTTAAGATCACACGAATACGACACACACGCCCCCGCACTCCAAAACACTGAGGTCACACGTCCTCGTAAAGCCTCCAGCATTGGTTCAGCATGGCCGGCTTCAGCTCGAAGTCATGTGTACAGAGCTAATGCTCCAAAGCTTTTAGAGTAAAAGAAAGCCGAAGGTGGAACAGTGAAACAGAGAGCACTTTGATTTTAGTTTGAGCCCTCAGGTAAATGCTAATTATACGGAGCATTAAAGAGCAACAGAAATGCAAAAACCATCAAATGTTTTTTTTCTTTTTAAGAAATTAAATTTGTTGTTTTTACTTTCACACTTTCAAAATTCAAAACTGAGCGCTAAGTTTGGCGCCAGGTCTGAGCTGGTTGTGCTGACCTCGAGACCACGTGAATGAGTCGGCGGTTTCAGACGTTTGAGTGGAGCCGGGATTGTTGCCGACCCGATCGAAAGTCAGTAGTTGGATGTTAATAATGCAGCGCGGCATTTCTCTGCATCTCAGTCATTGGACAGTCCCGTCGCCCTGATCCCGTTACCTCCTGCCTCCAAATAATTCATCGTGTCTGCAGCAACCGGTAGATGACACTCACCCTGCTG